AAATGGAAATGTTTTTCTATTAATGTTCAAGATTTAATTAATTTATCACCCTTTGTGCTTCTTTTTCTTATTTTTGACCATGACAAAAAGCATGAAATCAAGCACACAGTCCTACTCCACTCCACTGGTGACTGGGAAAGCATGAGAGCATGGTTCTTTAACCAGAACCCGTGCAAGCATGCCATCATGAAAGTGGCACTCAATACTTATGAACTTCTCTGGGCAAACAAATTTCACCATGATCTTTCACAAGCAAACACAATTGATAGTATCAAAGGCCATGGTCAAATTGATGAATGTTCTGTACTCTGTTCTCCTTCTGGCATTTCTCCTGGAGTTGTCAGGAAGCAAACAACATGTCAACCACTCCTCAGTCTTTTTCTGAAGCCATATTGATTCTCAGGTTGATGACCATCTTCCAGGTAAAAGATATGCAGAGTAAGGTGGACTCTGGCAAGAATCTTGCTAGCAATGACTAAGAGAGAGATTCCCCTGTCATTCCATTTAACTAAACACAACAAAATGTCGTGGATACACCCTCACAGCAAGCACTGACATTTAATAGACTATGTCATTGTAAGGAGATAAGACTGGGTGAATGTGAGAGTGACAAAGACGATGTGTGGCAGAGTGCTGGATTGATAATAAACTTAACTTCTCCAAGTTAAACATTCTCATTCAATAAGAGTGGTGGCCCCAAAGTAAAATGATTGTCAGGAGACTCAAAGTCAACAGATTAGAGTGCTTCTTCATGCCTGAATAGTTGATTGCTGACCTAGAGGGAAAGCTGAGTCAGCACACAGCAACAGTGGAGCAGAAAAGGTATGGGCAGCTTTCAGAGACTTGGTGTACAACACTACATTTGTTCATCTGGGCCAGAATATTCACAAACATAAGAACTGGTTTGATGAAAATGATGGGGAAATTCAGAAGATGCTAAACAAAAAATGATAACTCCATAAGGTTTGCCACTGGGACTGTTCATCTATCTCTAAAAAGGCATTGTTGGCTTCACTCTACTTCTCCCAGCTAAGGGCTGTTTGGGTCTTGGCACTACTTGCATCATAGCGTCAGTTTACTCTGTGCTTCAGGTCTTAGGGAGTGATGGGGGCCTGGCGCCTTGTTAGTCTCAGCTTTCTGTTCATGGCGGAACCTTGGGCTGTGGATAGTTTCTTACCCCTCCTTCCTTTCCTGCATCCCATGCACCTCCTCATGGAAACCCAGCCATCTGTAAAGCCTCTGCATGAGAGCTGCTTGGGACTCTTTGCTAGTTCAGCATTAGCTGCAGAATGTTCCCTTTTGACATTTTTGTCCTATCTGCATAACTTCCATAGACTCACTGTGGGAATCAGAGTTCTGAATATCTATCTAGAAAACCACCCAGATTACAGTCTTTCATGGAATCATCCAGAAAGCCAGATGTGCCTGCTATTGAGCACAGTACAGATGGGCTTCTAGGAAAGGTGTCTTTGCCGATTGGAATGTATTGTCAGGCATTCAGTTATGATGATGTCTTGGAGGATCCCACAGTGATGACCCTGCCTTCATCTGACAGGTTCAGTAAGGTTCTGTGGAAAAAGCTGGTCATCCCAGATTGGAAGTACCGACAGCTTTCCAAGGTTGAGGAAGGAGAAAATAGTTCCCCCTTAGCTTCCAGTGAACAAATGAACAAGGCCCTGGTGGTGATGGCCAAGGCTATGCATGTCATCATGAATTCTCTAATTACAAAACAGACACAAGAGAGCATGCAGTGCTTTGAACAGCAGGCAGGGTTGACAGATGTGGGATATACTCCTTATAAAGCCCTTACCACAGAAGAAATAAAGTACCACTTTGGGGCAGAGGCAGCTCATAAATTAAAATTATGAAATGGAGAAATGACACAAGAAGATAGACTGACTGCTTCAACACAGTCTTCTCCAAGTAGTACACCCCATTCTTCTTCCAAGCAAAAGCCCAGAAGCTAGTTTATGCATAGATCTTCTACTTCCTTACCTGACCTAGATGTCAGCAGCATGGACTTTTGGGAATGGTGATAGAAACAAACCCTCATCTGAAAAAGGAAGCCTTTTTGGACCAAGAACCCTTCAGAAATCTGACTTAGGTTTCAGTGTCCAGTCCTACAGAGGTATTCAGAAGCCATCACCAATGGAGCTCATTCAGGTTCAAGCTACTAGAATTGCAGAAGACCCAGCAGCCTTCAAGTCACCTAAGATGGACCTTCCAGTGACAGAAAGAAAGAAACAACCTCCAAGAACTCATAACATCAAACCAAGGGACATACATGTTGTTGACTCCTACAGGGTTCTAAAGCTCCCTTTTCATATGAACAAAGTTGCTTTCCCCAGTGAACCACTGCTATGTAGAGACAGTGAACTTTTCTTTCTTAGATTTTTCTTTCTTCCTATCCATCTTGCACTTGACATAGGAAAGACATCATCTATTTACAATTCTGCTGAGGATAATATTCCTGGGGAGGAGGTAGTTGTTTCTTTAAATATTTGTAGCAAAGCTTGAATCTTTCTAATGTAGGAAGACCTATTCTGTAAAATCCCAAAGTTGGTCTGAATAACTTCTCCAAGTACAGTGGACCACAGATGATTTCTGAGCTATAGAACTAGATTGCAGGGGACAAGAGAAATAATTAAAATCTAGTAGAATTTGTTCTGCAAAAAATAAAATAAAATGGCATTGTTTTACTCCATCAAAAGTAAAGTTCAAGTAAAGCTTAGAGAGATGCAGGACTTTTGGCTCTGTAAGAAGGCAGATGAGATTCTGTTTTACACTGATAGCAACAATCCAAAGCACTTCTATGATGTCCTGAAGACTACTTATGGGCCAACAACTTCTGTTGCATCTCAACTACTCAATGCTCTTAGAGCCACACTGATCAGTGATAAGGACATGATTCTGGAGAAAGGGGTTAAACACTTCCATAGTGTTTTCAACAGACCGTCATCAACCAGTGCTGAAGCCATTGACCGTGTACCTCATATTAAAGCCAATCCCTCTCTAGCAATCCTTATTATTGAAGAAGAGGTATTGAATGCCATTATGCTGCTCTCATGTGGCAAAGTACCTGGTTCTGGTTCCATCATAGCAGAAATCTACAAGGCAGGGGGTCCACTGCTCAAACAGAAGCTGAAATCCTCTGGGTGATATGGCAAGAGATGAAGGATGCCTTCATTGTCCACCTCTATAAAAACAAAAAAGAAATAGATGTATGGTTATTCCTAGTTGAATGTCTCCTTCAATTCTGTAAGATGCATGAGAGAAATTTGCTATATAACTAGGCTTCGATGAGAACTTGACATAAAAAAGATGAAGTGATATGATATCAGCACCAAGGAAAACACTTTAGTAGTCTTAGTCTTAATTGGCTCTCCTTGAAAATTATTTTTCATCGTCTGGGGCAATCAAAACAGCTACTTGCTGAATATTATAACATTATCCACACAACCTTTGTTGGAAGAGTAGCAATAGCAAAACTGCTTAATAAGCATTTGCTATCACCATATACTCCAACCCCTATCCACTTTAAAAAAAATAGTTGACTTGGGAGCTTAGCAAAGAATAATAGATTTTTAGTTAGTAGAAAACCTCATGATGTTATTTGGTTTAGCCTTCTGCCTTTATATCAGTAAAATATTATTATCATTGTTTTATAGATGAGCACACTGAACCTCAGAGATGCTAAGTGACCTATCCAAAGTCACAGAACTAGTGTAGAGACAAGATTAGGACTAGTTCTTCTTTATCCATTATTTTTCCTGCTTTATTTGAATACTTTGGTGGATCCAAGATTTAATTTGTTTAAATGCTTCATTTGTATTATATTAATTTGCATTACATCTTTTTTTATACCCCTATTATTTTGTCCTAGATCTACCAGCAACATTAGATGCTTGTCTTTTATTCTTTTAGTATTTCAATCAGTGCATCACTTGAGGCATCCATCTTTTGTCTTTCATTCTTGCTGCATGATATATCCACCTCTTTTTCCATTCATACATAATTCTATCTTTTTCTGCTGCTTGTGATATACACATAAACACTGGTAATATGAAGCAAACTTTTGCTCACCATGTACCTTTGAGGATTATTTGTAATTTTACCTCTTTCAAGATTGGGGTAGTACATAATTTATAGCCATATAACATTACTGGAAGAATATCAATATTGAGGAGGTGGGCTCTGCAGCAAGAGCTATTTAGGATCATTGAAAACACTGATGTTGTAGTATTTAGTGCAGTTATTTCATTATTTCTAAGGCAAATGCATTTTGGCTATCCAGTACAGGGTCCTTAGAATCATAAGAAAGGACTTCATTTTACATATGATAAACTGAGTATGAAAGATAGATTAAACAGTTTGCTCAAGTTCAACACAGAGTTATATGTTTTTGTAATTGGACTTTCATGGTCATAAGAGTCCAAATCCCTCATTTTACACAGAATGAAAGTCTATCTTAGATCAGTTAATGACTAGCCTAAGATACTAACATTAGTTACCGAAAAGGCCGGAACTATAGCCTAAGTGTTCATACTTCCTGTCTAGTTTTCTTTAGAAGTTGGCCCTCATCTCTAAGAGATAGCTCTACCATAATTACTAATATATCAATATCTTTCCACACATTTTAATGTGTTTTTTTAGGATGTTAGGTAAGAGCTTAGGGCTATTCACAAATAATCCACTTAGTTTCACAAAACTAGTATTATCCACCTGTATGTAACAATTTAATCAATGTGTGTTTTTCATCCACTTCATTTTTTAGTGTGGATTTTCATACTATTATTTTTTGAACTGTGATGTATTTAATCAAGAAAGCACTGTAGTACTCTGAGCCTTGATACAAACAGTAAAATCTTATCTTAGAATAGATGACATATTTTATGTTACATTGTATTAAAACATTTAAATTAATTCTATGAAAATATTGTTGAGAATGAAGAAATTTGTCTTTCTTTCAAAACATGTAATATAGATTTATATGGCTTTTTAAAAATATGGAACACTTCTTAAATTTGTATTTTATCCTTGTTCAGGGGCCATGTGAATCTCTGTATCATTCCAATTTAGTACATGTGACATCTAAACAAACACAATTTATATGGTTTTTTTAAAGCCTTTATGATTGTTTTGAGTTTATAAGCTAGAGTGGGAAATTTTTATGAGAATAAGAATGTACCACTAGGATAGATTTCCCTGCTTTCTTTACCTGAACACCCATTCTTACCAAAATGTACCTCATCTCATAGTATGCCAGCCCTTTATCAAGACATTTTCTACTACCCTTTCGTTTTTCTCTGTTTTTTTTTTTTAAAGGCAATTGGGGTTAAGTGACTTGCCCAGGGTCACACAGCTAGTGAGTGTCAAGTGTTTGGTCTAAGGCCAGATTTGAACTCCGGTCCTCCTAACTTCAGGGCCAGCGCTCTATCCACTGCACCACTTAGCTGCCCCTACCCTTTTGTTTTGTAGAAAGCTGGTTCCAGTATGAAAACTTCTCACAACCCTAAAACTCTTGGTACTCTTCCTATCCATCTATTTAGCATAAGAGAAATTTGGTATTCCCCAAGATGAGACAAGATCCTTCTCCAGGGAAATCTGACCTTTTTATTTCTCTTCCTGATTCAGTGTAAGAGGAAAACATTTAGCCATTTCTTTGTACTCTAATATTATGAGGTAGTCTGCTTAGCTATACTTGGCAATATAATGATTATGATAAGCATTTTGCTGCTTTCTGGTTATTTGGAACAGAGGATTAAAAAGACATTCCTTCCTTACCTGGCTCCTACTAGAAGCATAGGTCCTGGAAAAAGGGACAGCAATGGGTCATACGACTTGACAGAAGAGGGAGCAGCTTTTGTTGCTAACAAGTTTATACCTTCTCAATTCAAAAACTGATGTTATCTTACAAAGGAATAGCGAATCCTCCTACTGGAATTGCTGACCAAATCCTACCAGATCTTTGACAGACATCATAGGAGAGGGCTGGTCTTATAGTCCAGAAGAAATGAGATGAAGTCTTGCCTCTGACCCATGCTGCCTATTGGCAAGGAATTGAATCTCTCAGTGCCCCATTCAGCTTTCTAAGTTTATAAATCACATTGCTGATGGGCATCTGTTTTGGAAGTTTACACAGTAGATAATTCCTATACTGAGGAAGGTCATAAATTAAGTGTGTGTGTGTATGTGTGTGTGTGTGTTTGTGTATCTTTGTCTTGTTTATCTACTTCTCTGTGCTGATTCCACCCTTTTCCTGTAGCTGAATTTTTTAGGAATCACAAATTAATTAATTAATTAATTTTTAGCTAACTGGTACTTTTTTTTTTTCCTAAGAGGTTGTTTTCATTCAGTTACATAATGAAACCAAAGATTATGTCCTCTCAGTTGGTTATCTAAATTGAATCTGTTGTAATACATAGCACTTGTCTTTATTTTCCATTTCACTTTTGGATACTTTGGAGAGGCATTGTGTTATAAAGGATAGCTAGACTTAGTATTAAAAAAAATTACATGCATACCCTTTGACCTTGCAATACCTTGACCTTGCAATACCACAACTAGGTCTGTATCCCAAAAGAGATTAAAAAAAGGAAAATGACCTATATTTACAAAAATATTTATAGCAGCTCTTTTGTGGTGGCAAAGAATTGGAAGTTGAGGGGACGAGAGGAGACTGTTATGATATTGGAGTGAGTGTAGCTGCCTTACAAGTTAACACAATAAGCATTATTACTTAATGTATGGTGCTAAATATACAAAGATTAATTTAGTTAATGCCTTCAGGAATTTTACACTCTTTTCTCCTCATTCCTCCATCAGAACATAAACTTAGTAAAAGTAAGAAATGTTTTGTTATATTTGTATCCCTAGTGCCTAGCACAGTGCCTGAAACACAGTAGGAACTTAATAAATGCTTGTTGATTGCTTGATACAGTCAATGAATCATTCCTTAGCAAAATGAAGCAAAACATTCCCCTTCCCAAAGATTTTCCTATATTTGCATCATTCAAGATGGGTCTGTGTGGAATCAAATAGCAGAAACTGCAGAGGTGAGGGAGGTTTTGCTGGCTATAGTATAGCTCTAGAGGGGATTCTTTTCTGGTGAATTCTTAAAGATCTAGGAGTTTCCTGAAGCCAGGCAAAAGAAAGGGATAGTCCTTCAACTACGTGCAGGGAATTGTCAATCAACAAGCCTTTATTAAGGGCCTTCCTTCTCTGTGCCAGGCATGGTGCTAGGCTCTGAAGAGACAAAGATAAAAGTAAAAAAAAAAAAATTCCTGACCTCAAGGAGCTTACATTCCATTAGGTGAGATGATAAGTAGAAGAGAAATCCAATGCGCCATCTTACAAACAGAGAGGGAAAGTTAATGATCATATTCTCAAAAGCTACTTTTTTCTGTGTTGCTATCAGCATAAGTATGTATAGCATATTGCTAAAATATAATCAACCAATTGACAATTTGTATGCACAAAAGTACCTTAAGTACTATGGGGGAATATAAAATTTGTTTGCTTGTTTGTTTGTTTTTGCTTAAAAGCATCTTCATAAGGAGGTAAAATATATACATTAAAGAGGTGGATTTTTACCTTCACTTTGAAGAGGGCTTCCCAGAAGGCTTTTCCAGTCCAATTAGTCAAAGCAAAAGGTTCTTTTTTTAAATTCCTAAGACTAGGTTATATTAATTAACTTGTATGTCAAGGGACTTAAAAAAGCAGAGATAAGGGACCCAACCAGCATTTACAGGAGGCAGGATATACAGGGTAAAGTCACAGTCACTGGCAGAGTAAAGATACAATTACAATTTAAAGGGAACCTAGGATGCTTACGCAGGAAGAGATAACCCAGGATGATCCTTTAAGAAGCTACCCTAGGGCTGTTTGGGAATGTCAGACAAGAAAGTGCTGAACCAAGCCCTGAAGGAAGGTAGGGACTTTGATAGGTGGAAACAATGAAAGAGTGTGTTCCAGGTATGGGCCATGACTTGAGTGAATGCACAGTGAGTGTAACTGCCTTACAATTTAGCCCAATAAGCATTATTAAGTATCTACTATATAGTAAGTTGTTATACCAAATTATGCCCACTATATCCACCATCCCCCCCATCTTTCAAGGTCACTCAGAGATGCTGAAGAGAACTAGACATCGTGCAGAGGGTCAAGTTCTCAAGAGTGTATGATTTATTTCCTGCCTCTGATGTCACAAGACACTAGACAGGGTTTTGTGGAATTTTGATGTTTCTTGTAGGGAAGTGTCTTGGAATAGTTCATAAACGTAAAGTGGTAGGTAGGTGGAAGAATGGGGCAGTCTAGGACAGAGACAGCCTGTTGTAAGAGACCCTAGGGCTGAGACCTAACTGTACATTCCTCCTGATTACAAGATAAGACAAAAAAGAAAACAACACATAGTATAAAATATGCAGTATGATTCCAATCTCACATGGGGTAGGTACAGTACATGTGATTTCACTGGGATAGGGAACTCCTGAGCAAGGAAACTCCCTTATAGACTGAGCGAGTTGTGTACAGCGCTGATAAATTAAGTATCTTACCCAAAGACACATAGTATGTTTCAGAGGCAGTGCTTAAATCAAGGTCTTCATGGCTGGGAAATAAGCTCATGATCTACTATGCTATTCTCTCTCTCTCTGTTCCTATTTCATAGCATATTAATGGCAATGCCAGTTGGATTAAATACCATTTTTACTCATGACTGGGAAGGAGTCGAATGATACTTGTGATCCTTCTACCATTTTAATTGAGTTTTGGTAACTACTAATTTGTTAATGGGAAAAGGGATTATCGTCATGGCTAATCTCCCATTATTATTCAAAGAGACTTCTTCCTCAATAAATTTCTTAGGAGAAATTTCTAATTTTCTTTTTTCTTGAAAATCCATTTTTGTGGCATGACCTTGGCCTCAGTCTGTTCTATAAAAGGGGGACTTTACTAGAATACAAAATTTAATGCGTGTGTATGTATATACATACATAATGTGCTCAGAGGTCTAGGTTCCTATTCCTAGGAGAGGGATTAGTTCCTGAGAGTACAGTCAGTACTCTCCCTACCCTGTTCTAAAAATAATTGCAATTTCACTGCTTATGCAGATATGACAACACCAATCTCATTAACCACAAGGGACTTACCTTACTGGGGTGCACAGCATTGATTATTCATCCACTGACGGCCTTGACAAAATGATAGGCATTACTCATCATGACTGAAATGAATCATCAGGCCTATGACTGATAGGGAGCACTGCCAGAAAGTTTCTGTGTGGATGTATAAAGCCTGCAGTTATTATTAAACATGCCTTTGATCCTAAATTGGAGGTGATTCATTTGATCAAGTGCAAAGCTGGTGACTCTCAAAAGAGAGAACTATCAAAAACAGGGACCTCCTTGGAATCAATAACTAAGCTCCAGCCAAAATTAAGTCTGAGCTAAAGTCAACCTCTTATACTCACTGTAATGGTTAGGATCTGTTCCTATGACATAGGAAACTTCATTTTTTATTCATGATTCATTCATTCAATAGACATTTGTAAAGCAATTTCTGTGCTAGATGATTGGGAAAATAAAAGTCTAGGAATGTTGGAATGATGGAGGGGGAGAAACACTTTCTTCCTGTACATCCTTGATCAAGCACCTCAGTTTCTTCTTTATTCAAAATTATCATCATCAAATTTTTAGTAATAATAACTATATAATTGATGCTAGCTGACATTTTTTTTTCTTTGTGAACTGCCTTAAATATTTCATATAGTGACAGTGTCCAAATAATTGGAGCATGAAAACAAAATTTAGTCAGGGTGGGGAGTGAGGGGGTATGGTGTGTTTTTAGGTCCCAATTGTACCTCTTACTAATCGTTTCATTATTTCAAATAATCACAGAATCTCAAAACTGGTAGGGATCCCCAAGGCAATTTAGTCTAACCCATAAGTCACAAACTTTTGTTTGTCTCTAAAACATTTGTTGTTGTTTTTCAGTTGTGGCCAACTCTTTGTGACCCCATTTGGAGGTTTTCTAGCAAAGATACTATAGTGGTTTGTCATTTCCTTCTCCAGCTCTTTTTACAGGTGAGGAAATTGAGGCAAACA